GGGATAGGCCCCGCCGCCCGCCCGCCCCCGCCGCGCCGCGCCCCCCCCCGCCGCCTCGACGCGGAGCCGCCGCTGAGGGGCCGCCGCACGTCCCCGCCTTGCTCCCTCTCTCCGGGGGGGGCTCTCGGGGCCGCTCCTGGGCTGGATGAATGTGGGAGAAGATGGAGACCAAGACGATCGTCTACGACCTGGACACCTCCGGGGGGCTGATGGAGGTGAGGCCCGGGACGCGGCAGGGGGGGCCGAACCGGGGAGGCAGTGGGGCTGCAAGATGGCGAGGGAACCCCCCCACCCCGGAGCCCCGTGGCCTTACAAGGAAGTGCGGAGGGACGGAGGCAGCTCGCCCGGCCCCCGGAGAGGCCCTGCTGGACACGGGGCGGGCGGGGCGGGCTCGGCCGGGGCTCTGTCCCCCCCCCGATCCCCTCCCGGAGGGCCTGGGGCCGCTGTCCCCCCGGCGGGCACGGGGAGAAGGGCGCTGGGTCAGGATCCGTGCAGCCCCTCAGAGCCCGCTCTGTCTGTGTGTGCATGTGCAGCAAATCCAGGCCCTCCTGGCTCCCCCCAAGAGCGAAGATGGGGAGAAGAAGAGCAGGAGGCTCGAGAAGGAGCCCAGGCGAAGTGGCAGGGCCACTAACCACGATAGCTGCGATAGCTGCAAAGAAGGAGGGGATCTGCTGTGCTGCGATCACTGCCCCGCCGCTTTCCACCTCCAGTGCTGGTAAGGCTTAGCGCTCTCTCCCTCCGGATCTGCCCAGAGCACCTTCCCTCCGGCCGCTCCCGCTTCCCGTTAGGTCCCGGGGAGGGGGGGAACGTGGGGCCGGCTGGAGCAAACAGGAACAAAAAGGCGGTGCAAACCCCACTCGGGTCCATCGTTCTTGAGACTAATCCACGGCGGCCGAGGTGAACCCTCTCCTGGCTGCTTTCTGGAGGGTTGGGGGTCCACCCTCCTCCTTTCTTTTTGTGCTGAGCAGCGGGCGAGAGGCCTGGAGGAGGAGCGAGGCCGCTGGTTGCGCGGCCTGGCTGCCTTGGTGCTGCCCCTGCCCGGCCTTCCGCCCCCCCCAGCGGGAAACTTCCCCACCTCACCCCTCTCCAAGGGTGCCTGGCTTGGGGGGACCCTCGGGAGGGCCCTGGCTGGAGAGGGGGAAGCCCTGGTGGCGTCTCTGCACCAGGCCTGACGTTCCCAGCGCTTCCGTGCTGCTGCAGCTGCTGGGAATAATGGAGGTTGCTGTCTCTGTGTCTCCCTGCCTCACTGTTTACAATATGGCGACCTTCCTTTAAATTATATTTTTATTCTCAGCGCCATTTTGGCTGCATATATGACTTCCAAACCCTCGCAGCGCTTCTCACAGTATCTCAAACATGAAAATACCTTCCCCGTGGAAATCCAGGCCTCCAGACTTTAACGTTGGCCGGAGTTATTCCTTTCCCTCCTTTTTTCCCTTCCTCCTTGCTCTTTCGACCTGCTTGTCTCATCCATGGGGGTGTCTGCTGTGAGCTGGGGGGCTGTCAGGTGCTCTTGCTGGGAGTTGTGTGGCTTTGTTGATGAAGGCAGAGCTTTCTGCATGCAAATCTGGCTGCCGGCTGGGAATCGAGGTGCGTGTGGAAGCGGTGGAGGCAGAGCTCGAGGTGCTGGAGGCTGCAGCAGGATGGGCTCTTGCTACCTTCCCTCACAGCTTCCCAAGCTCTCCCGGCACAAAGCTACATCACGCTAAAAGCGCCTCAACTTTCTGCCCCAAAGTTTTTCCTTTTTCTGCACCCGGAGCTTGGATGCATCCGAGTCCGCTTTGCCGAAATCCCTCCTTTCAACAGTTGACACAGGCGGGCGGTTTGTGTTAAATTAGCACAGCCAGAGTGGATAATGGAGTGGAGGAGGGAGTGGGGCAAGTCAAACAGCTGGAGTTTGGGAGTACAGAGTATTCTTCCTTAGGGGAGATTTTTTAACCACATTCCTTTCTCTCTTTCATGCTTTGGAGCTTTGTTTGCCACCCTGTTACAGCTGTCTCCTCTGCGCTTTTTTTCTCCCTCTGTTGTTTTTTGGTTTTGGTTTTGTTTTTTTTTTTGCTTTTTTTCTGATTTTCATTTGCTTGCTGGCTATTCTGCATTTGTATGCTAATTGAGGGTCTCAGAACACTTATTAAACTGGTTGGTGATAGCAGGGAAGCTGAGTGTGCGGTCACAGTTCTGTAGGGAGTGTCCCGTTAGCAGCGTGTAGCCAGGCAAACCCGACAATGCTGTAGCATGCAGCCATGACATCATCCCTCCTTACCCTGAGGAAGTGCTACTGGTGGTAGTGCAGATCCTCTAATATTTACTAGGAGGGTAGTAATTATAATTATTTTTCATCCAGTGTCCTTGATGAGCTTTAATTTAAGGGTGGTTTTTTCCTTCTGCCGGGCACAGTTGCTTTCAGATGCAGCTGAACATATCCTGAGCATCCTCTTAGCGAGGCTGGAGCAATGGCTAAAACTTCACATTTTGGAATGGAAGAGCTGTAGAATGTCCTGGTTGACTCTGAATCCTAGTTAAGTCTGACCATAAATGAGACCACTTTGTGCATGCCTAAATTTCATGGCTTAATTTGGCGATATTTTTGTAGTTAGTGAGTGGGAAACAACCAGATAAATCAGATACCTGTAAAGCTTTTGCTGTACCTGAGTTAGCTGCATTATAACTGTATAAAAATTTTATATAAAAATGTATGTATCTTTGTCTAACTAGTCACTCTTCAGAACAGAAATTAAAATACTCTCTTTCGCTCCATTTGTTGCTTCCTCTGAGGTTTCTCAAGTGATCCCTTTGACAGTAGCCCAGACCCTGCTGTGGGAGATGGCACAGTGTGTAAAGGCTTTGTCTGAAGGCCTCCAGCTTGGGCCTGGTTCTGCCTCCTTCCCTCCTGGACCTTTGTTGGACCCTTGGCTATGGCCTTCAGGTGACCTAGGTTGTCTCAAAGGGATGCTCAGGTTTTGTTTTTGTGTGTCTTCCCATTACCGCCTACATTTTGCTTAAAGCAAACTTCCGTTCTGGATATAATCTTAGGCATAAAGGCAGCACTTGCAGCTTCCTCTCTGCCTCCTTTTTTTTATTTAAAGAATAGTAGCTGTAATGCAAGGCTTGGTTTAAGTCACTTGAATAGCACTGCTGGGGCACTCTAACTGATTTGTGTTGACAGCTTACCTGTTCTCTGAATATTTATTGTGAGCTTTAGTACCGGGTTGAATTTATCATCAGTATAGCATAACAAAAATTAAGAAGTAGCTTTTAATTGGTCTAGCGTTTGTCTAGTTGCTTACAGCTGTATGGGAGAGGCCATATTATGAAAGAAACAGATTTTC